GCTAGTCTCATTTGTTCAGCAGCAGTTACCAAAGAAGCGCACAGTTGCCATGCACTGCTTCTTGTTCCAGGGCACAGTGATATAATTCCAGGTTGAAAGAGAGAAGTTGTAATGTGTCACTAACCAGGAGACCTTGAGGAAACTTCTTGCCACAGTGCCAGCTGTATTGTGCAATCCTGATTGTGATTTCTGTTCTGGCCTGATTCACATCTCCTCTGTTTAATGTTTCTCACATTCATGTGGGCTGGGGATCCACCTTTGATCCAGTCTTCTGGAAATCTGTGCTCTAGTTATGAATATGCATTAGATATTTGAGAACCATATCAACTAAGGCCTTCTTTTTCTCAGTTTTTTTTGTTTGTTCTTGAAATCCTTGGAAAAAATACCTCCCCGGCAAATAACTGCCATTGTTTTAAGATACTGTGAAACATGATGTGGCTTGTATCAGAAACTTGGAGAACTTGGGGCTGCTTTCTGCTTTTCCTTTCCATGTGTTGTGGAGTTGAAATCAATACTGGTTCTCTGTACAAGATGCAGCCCAATTCCCTAAAAACATGACCTTCCTGTTTATGGAAACTTGTGCTCCCACTACATGTACTTGGAAAGATTAAGTGTTGAAGTCTAAATATACATTGCTACTGGGGACCCCCAAGAAAACAACTAAGTCTGCTCTCCCTGAAGTCTGATGGCTTTGATGCAAACTGCATTGGGCCTTAGGTGAAGGAAATGCCTCAAGAGTAGTACCTTTAGAGACCTCCCTGTCATTAATAGCCTGTTAAGAAAGGAAGCCTCTAACACACAAATGTTGTTGCTTGCTGTAAAACAGAGGTTCAGTTAAATAAGTGGGACACTTCAAATTGCAGAACAGCAAAGATGGATGAAATCTGAAGAATGAACTGCTGCTGTCAGGTACTTATATTATTACCTAGGCAGAGAGATAGAGTCTTTAGTTTAGATTTGTATGACTTATCATTACTAGTGCTCTCTTGCAAAATGAGCATGGCTACAGGTAGCCTTGCTTTAATATGATTAAACAAAAATAATAAAAAAGCTTGTCATGATAAAGGCATAGGATTTAATGATGAAACTTAAATGTGAAATTGGAAACACAGCTTGTAATGTAAAATATTTTCTGTGTGGTTTATCCAAGGACAGATTGAGTACAGGATTACCGAATGCCAGCGGCAATTACAGCTTTACTGGATAATGCACTGGGACAGTTTACAGATGCTGAGGATCTGCCTAGCCCTGAGAAGTTCAGAAGAGAGTAATTTACAGGTACAGACCTGACCTACTCTTTCCTTTAGTGAATATATATCTTTTTTTTTTTTAATTATCCAAGAGCTTTGTGTCTTTATCTAGTCATACATCAACCCTGGTGTTTCTATCTGTTAAGAATTGGATGAGTTTGGACACTAAATTAGAACTGAACCCTGGTCAAAACCCAAGCCTTTTAATTTTTAACTTCTGTGCTTAGCATGCATTTTTAATGTGTAAGCAACATGGTGGTTCATTCTAAATTACACCTTTAATGGATTTTCTTATTGCTTGCTCACAGCAAAAACCAGGCAAGCAAACACATCCCAAACTGTATTTTGAATTAAAATAAGAGTTTAGTAAACAACTACATTGCCTATGTCCTCTCCCTCTAACCTTCTAACAGACGTAGTCTGCATCTTCTTAAACCTGAAATAATCAACTAAAAACCCCTAGATCTAGTTCAGTCAGAAAATGATCAGCTGACACTTTAGCCAACAGGAAGCTGAGAGGGAGAGGTGTGTTACATCTGCACGAGCAATTTTGGATGTAGTTATGGGAAAGCCTTGATCTTGTAGTTCTAGTTTCACTAAAGTCTCATTTGATGGTGTCCAGCAGGACAGGGTCCCTTCAGTTGGATGATGAGGTGCCACGGTAAAGTGAGAGGAGAAAATTTTAGATTAAGTAAATGGACAACAGTATTGTTCTATGCTGGCTCCTTAGTGACTATCATTCTTCAGCAGTGAAGCGTCTGGGCTGATCAGTTCATTTGTCTCTGAATGCAAATTTTGTCTTTTGAGTGCAAAGAATAATGGGTGGGGAGGTCTGACCACTGTGTCAGCACGGGACTTCCCTTCACTATGGATAGCGTCTCCACCATTCCTGTTTGAAAATCCCTCTTGCCCACCACCCCCTGGGAAGTATAGATGTGTGGAAATGGTAATGGTGAATGGGACAGGAGCACACCTTCTGGCTGCCAGCTGTGTAGGAGTGAAACAGGTAGGTGTCTCCCAAAGCTTGTATCCAGGTCACCCCAAGCATACATGAGCAGGCAATGTGTGCTCGCAGCCCAGAAGGCCAACCGTATCCTGGGCTGCATCAAAAGCAGTGTGACCAGTAGGTCGAGGGAGGTGATTCTGCCTCTCTACTCCACTCTGGTGAGACCCTACCTGGAGTACTGTGTCCAGCTTTGGAGCCCTCAGCACAGGAAAGACATGGGCCTGTTGGAGCGGGTCCACAGGAGGGCCACAAAATGATCCAAGGGATGGAACACCTCTCCTGTGAAGAAAGGCTGAGAGAGTTGGGGTTGTTCAGCTTGGGGAAGAGGGGGCTCCAGGGAGACCTTATTGCAGCCTTCCAGTACTTAAGGGGGACTTACAAGAAAGATGGGGACAAACTTTTTAGTAGAGCCTGTTGCGATAGGACAAGGGGTGATGGTTTTAAGCTAAAAGAAGGGAGATTTAGACTTTAGATAAGGAAGACATTTTTACAATGAGTGTGGTGAAACACTGGCACAAGTTGCCCAGAGAGGTGGCAGATGCCCCATCCCTGGAAACATTCAAGGTCAGGTTGGACAGGGCTCTGAGCAACCTGATCTAGTGGAAGATGTCCCTGCTCATTGCAGGAGGCTTGGACTAGATGACCTTCAAAGGTCCCTTCCAACCCAAACGATTCTATGATACAGTTACAGAAGAGTGCACATAGCTCCCAATCTGGGGCTGCAGCTCCCAAGCACTGTTTGCCCTGTCTGTGTGCTGCTGTGGTGTGAACTGCTTTAAACAATTCCCCTTCTAATTAAGTATGGTCAATCTGTGTGTTGGCTTTTCAGGCACCCATCTGTACAGAGTGGATCTGCTTGCTCCCCTCTGAGGATCCCTTACTTCCCTCCCCATTGGTGTTGTTGGGGGATTAAAGCAGCGGTGGCCCCATACACAAACGCAGCTGGTTCCGTTTGGTCAGCCTGAGCCTTGCTGTGAAACCACGACAAGAATTCCAGTAAGTTGGCAACACTGAAACACAAAGAAAACAACAATAGGAAAAGTCCTTCCGTGCAGAAAGGAATGTTTCAAGCACTGTTCTCCTACAGTGAAAGGAGAGAGGGTGGGAGGGAGGAGAGAGATTTGAAGAGGGCAGGTTCCCCCCCTCCCCCGGCAGCTCTGGATCTTGTGATGGAGAGATCTTATCCTCTCTTTGTGATTCAGAGGTGCCAGGAAGCTAATTGAATATTCTGATCTGCCCCCAGTGTTTCTTGTGGCTTGACCCCGGTGCTGTGTCGTACCACTACACCAAACAGCCCTGAACCTGCATAAATCACAACCTTGCAAAAGCCTACACTCACATCTTCTCCCCCTTCTCACCCCCTCCCCCCTTCCCTATCTTGATAGATAGAAAACCTTTACGGAAAGGTTTAGGGGGATTAGAGCCCTACAGGACCTGGAGAAAAATCACAGCCTGCTAATAAGCAACAATATGTTCCTCTGCAACTTTTGCAAGAATAATGCAGGCAACTAATTGAAATTTCAGCCCATGGTAAAAAGAAGAGCTAATGCTTTGAAATATCACTTAAGTTCTGTTGCAGCATGCAGCATACACCGTTGCAGTATAATGAACATGACATGAAGCTAACATAAATGATATATGGAATTTATAAAGGTGGTGGTGATGTCATTAAAATTAATCTGACAAAGCCTCTTGCAAGACAATACATCTTTCTCCCATGGTATGTATGCATAGTAGTCATGTTCACATGCATGTGGATGTGTGCACACATACAGAGACAGGAACAGCTTGGCATAACTAAATTTTCTACATGGAAGACTCTTTCTGAGTAATAGAAAACAAAATAATGATTTAACTTCACACAGTTTATTGTATGATGCTTCTGATGCTGCAAACAAAGACTACAGAATGTTTGCCCTTTTCCCAAGACTGCATTCCAACCTGAAGTATTAGGGTATCTTTATCTTTCCCCTGTGATACTGTGCACTGTTTTTTACCTTTGTTAGTAGGTATATGATTCCTGAAATGGCAGCAGTAAAACACAGGCAGACATTTCACGTGTGCTGGATATGCTGTTGGAGAGTTAGAATCAGAGTAAGGTGTCTCCATCTGATATCTTAAGCATTCACAGCCAAAGCACTTTATCAAACGGATTTTATCTGCTAAGTGCAGAAATAAGTTTCGTCCCTACAGTTTTCCTTTCACAGTATTTCTGTGAGGAATAATAATAATAAGTTCTAAGATTTATCCCCTGCATTGGTTAAGAAGGCGTTGTGACATTTTTCAAAGTTGTCAAAAATACTTGCCTTGTTGGGAGCATGCCTTTGGGATGCTAAAACCTGAGACACACTTGCAACCTGAAATTCCCCTGACCTACTCAAAATACAGCAGCAATGGACTCTGGTATAAGGGCTGCAAAGTGCAGGGACTTGGAAGCATCTTGCCTATCCTGCCAAGTGTGGAAGGAGGGGCAGAGGCAGCCTGTGGCTGCAGGGCCTGGAGCCCTGCCTGATTCCCGCATGCTAGTTCCGGGGCCGCCGGGTATAAAGAGCTTTATGCAATGTCTGGAGGGTGGGAGTTTATAGAAAACGCGATGTCTCAACAGGCGAACACGCCTTTCTTCTGCAACTAGCGGGGTAAGAAAAAGACACCAGGCTCCTTGTGCTGCTGCTGTGCAGATCAGCACCCCGGAGTCGAGGAAGCCAGCTTCTGAGGGAGCTGGAGCATCCCAGCCCAGATGGGACCTCACCATCGGATGGATGGAAGAGCAGCAACTGCTTGCAAACTGCTCATATTATTCACTGCATGCATAATGCAGGGCAGTTGCCAAGGTAAGCGCTGTGCTCCTGCTTCTCCGGAATGGGACTTGCTCCACAAGGAGCACACCCCTGTCCCGGGACTTCTATGAGAAAAAGACCAAAGTGCCTGAAAGTAGAGGGTTAACGGGAGCCGATTCAAGGAGTTCTTTCTAATAGCTAGGGGAGACAGTTGGCTCTTTCCAGGAGCCATTTGATGGAGTTGATTTCTGTTGTGGAAAAGGAAGTAGCGCCTTAAAAAACAATACAAACACCACCGGCTCTTTAGCTTCGCTTCATCTTGGTTTTAAATTACCCCAGGATGTTTTTTTCTGATTGTTTTTCTGGTTTGTAAAAACTTTTTTTTCTGATTGTACAAGACAGCAACACACGAATGTTGCTAAATTTGGAGGGACAGCTCAGACTTTGCAACTTCACGGTCTAAAGTTACAGTTTTACAGAGATGCAAGTGGGCAGCTTTTCCTGTAGCGAGTACTGCTGACTGGCTGTGGGTAAGGCAAAAAAAATTAAAAAACCCATCACCCCACAGTTTTTGCATTTTTTCCTTGCGATCTTTGTGCCCTTCTTGCTACTGAAGTGTGGGTGGTTTTGCAGAGCAGAGTTCACCTGCGTTCCAAGAGCAGGTTTGGTGACCGCTAAAATTGAACCTCGGGTTGTTTTTGCTGAGCCGCGCACAGGCTGCGGCACGTGCACGTAGACAGGTTGTGCCTGTGGGGGGGTTATGCGTGGACGGGCTTGCGTACGTGTGGTACAGGCAGTCACTTACAGAAGGCTGTAAGGGAGAAACAGATGCTTAGTCTGGGCCACAATAAGCTCCCTTCAGCAGGTCGCAGACGCAGATTTGAAGTTGAGCGAGGGAGAACTTTTTCTCTGGGCTTTGCTGTTGCTAGGCGACATCGGGGAGCATGTGACGGGCAGAGCAGGCTGAGTGCTGCTCCTTTGGTACTAATCTGGCTGCTAGGGATGGAGTAGCCGCGTCTCCGGTCCTCTCCCCAGCCCGCGACTGGAGCCCATCTCTTCCTGTCTCCCCCTCTTCGCACAGTTTAATTGCCCTGCAGTGAAAACGAAGCCTGCCTTATTGGAGCAAGAGTGGCTGAAGTGCACTTCCTCGGCCCCATTTATTGACCCGGCAGTCCTGCTGGTTGTGTGTCTGTGTATTACGTGTGCGTTAAAATTGTTAATCTGCTTTCTTTGCTCAACTCTTAGTTTAAGCTCATTAGACAGAATCAAGTAAGTAATTATACTGCAACTGCTGCTAGCAGCTCCCACTTACGAGCAGGGAAATAGGAGATAGCTAATGTGTAGCAGGAGACCTGCAAAAGCTCTAGCCAAGGAGGTTACACTGGGCAGAGCTAATCCTATGCACTATTATTTTACATTGGATAGAGTGGAAGCTGCAGTGCTGATCTAAAAGTTTATTTCTTTGCAGCCACTTTTGACTGTTCGGGATGTGCTCGGTAAATGACAGGGATTAGCAATCCCTGTTTTTTACTATGGTGTAAGTAAAGAAGAAGTAAAGAAGTAATTAGAAGTTTTTTACTATGGTGTCTTGTCCCTCCCCCTCTTCAGAGTAGAAAGTAGAAAGAAACTGTGCAAACGAAACAGTATAGTTTTAGTAACAGGTAACTGATACTAGTAAAATCTCTGGATAGCAATCTTGGTCACACTGTGATTATTATTGTGAAATATTTGGTATCCTCAAGTTCCAGCTCCTTGAATGTTGAGATTGTGTCCGACTCTCATTTAAAAAAGAAACATTAAGAGAATCATGAAAGCAATTCCAAGGCTCAGAAGGAAAATGGTGAAAATCATATTATCTTGCCTAATCCTCAGTATTTCAGTGCTTCCATGATGTTTTTGAAGGCTTTTTTGTCAATACCTGAGTGTTCCAAGTATAAGCTGGATATTTCTAGAAGTAGTTTCACCTGACCACTTGCTCAAATGATAGTATCATGATTCTTCCATGATTTATCTAATTCTGGATTTACTGGCATTAAACATACCACTTAAACGGAATAAAAATACTGCCTCTTGTAATTGCCAGTAGTACAGGGCCTGGTTCTGCAATCTTTACTCTATAAACCTTGTTTCCTGTGGAGTAACTGCAACCAGAAAAAATTTAATCTGGAATCTAAAAAGCTACCTAAGTGAAGGTTGTGTCAAGAAGGAGCATGACGGGACTAACATTAATGTTTGTTTTGAGGGATCTCAAAGTGCTTCACGCTCATAAACTAGAGAGACTGGATGGATGTTGTACTCTCGGCAGTTTTGCAGAGGGCAAATGAGATCACTAGGGCAACTTTGCATTTGAACAATGAGTTCTTTAATGTTACTACAGAGCATACCAGATCTACATACTCATGCAATATTCCAAGTAGTATCTGTTATCAGGCTCACCTTTTCACTTTTTTTGGTGAGGATTTAGTATCTGAGACTGTTTGAATTTTTTTCTGTTCTTAGTGGTTCAGCACCAGAGGAGTTGTTAGTTTAGTTTCTTTATAAAATCATTCATATATAAAAAATTATTCATAGAAACCTGCTTTTCTTTATAAAAAACAACCCTTCTTTCTAGACACAAAGTATTAAGAACATTTTCCACAAATCTACTATAGTTAATATTTCTGTAACCTAGAGATTTCAGGTCACTTAAACTTCCATTGTTGCTTTTTGGTGTTCCTTAGGTCCTGATGACCTACTTTCAATAGAGATGATGTACATTTTCCAGAAAATAATTTGATTAGTATTAAAATAATATGAGTTAGTTAATAAATGACATTGGTATTAATTTTTGTCACCAATTCAATTAATTAGTGCAAGTTACAAATATAATCTTTTTTCAGACTTGCATGTACTTACACTGAAATTCTGGCTTTGCTGCAATTTATTGCAAAGTACCAAGCTGCTATGTAAAGGCCATGATTGCACTGTATTGCATAGTTTACAATGTTTAAATTGCTGTTTGCCTCCTTTGTCTTTCTGGCGGATCTTTTTATTTCTTTAGCACGCTTCATGTATGCAATCAAAGATGACAAATTCACATTGCTATGAATTACATGAGATCAATGATTGCTTAGCCCGGCTGTGTACTTTTCTTGCTGATAACTGTAGTATGTGTGTAAACTTTGAATTCTTGGAAATGCAGCTGGAAATGGAAGCATCTCCATTAATGGACTTTCTCTCTACATATGTGCTAATTTTTTAAATTTTTGGATTCTATATTGCATTAAGAGGCCAGAAGATCATGGCTAGGATGACTTCTAGTATGTATTTTTTGCTCCTCTTGTCAGTAAACTGTGAGTTACTGATTTTTTTTTTTAAGGTTTCTGTTGTTGATTATCTATTGATTAAATAGATATTGTTGATTAAATAATAGATTGTTGATTAAAGCTGATTATCTATTCTGTATGGAACTTCGCAAAATGTGATTTGTGCAGAAACTTTGCTGTAACACAATTTAGTGCATCAGGTTTGATTTACACCCTAAATTTTTGCAATGTTAAATCATCAGCTTAAATGCATCCCAGGCCAGTATGAATAAAATTTGTTACCATTATAAGGTCTCTATTAGTCTGAGAATGAAGGCTGTTCTAAGAATGAATCTCTATGGTGTGATATCATATCTCAGAAATCACCATGAACATTTACATGAAATGAGGCCAGTAGTGAATAGGCATGGTAAGACCAAATAGAGAAGAGCTACAGTAGCTCTTTCCAGAATGGCATGGAGAAACATGCTTTTCCATCAAGCGTTGTAACAGTTCAATCTCCAGATTAATAATTCAGTGTTTTTTAGACATTGCCTTCACTCAAATCTATTTAATCTACCTGCAGAATGATGTATAGCAACATTGCTGTAGGCGACAGGCCAGAGTCAGTATTCGTACTCGCTTGTACACTGCACATTTAAATGATAGAGAAGCCTGTCCGTAAGATTACACCCATGCCAAGACCTAGTGTTTGAAGACCCTGAGAGAGACTTCCCTTGGGGACTGATGATTTTGGAGTAATGAGAAGGGAGAAAGGATGGCAAAGAAAGTTAACATACCAGTGCAATCCTGACGTACAATTTAATAGGTATTGTGCGTGACCTATGAGTCTGCAGCGTTCATAATCCTGCAGTAGTATAATTTTGTTGGTTTCTCTTGGAGATGTACTCACACAAAATCAAGAGCAAAACTCCCACTGAGTGTCCATCTACCTGGCTCTGAACTAGTTTATTTCCTGAGGGCTGACAATTCAAAAGTAACTATTAGTGAAACACATTATTATCTTCTCACATTTTAATTAATGAGTGATATTTCTGTGCAGTGATAGTCTTTTTTTTTTTTTATGGTTCATTTTAATGAGTAGCCCTCTTTTAGTACCTTTCTTGAATTTTCTTAATAATTTACTTTTTGCCTGCATTCTGTTCAGCAAAGCATATCAGGAATTTGCAAAGTAATCAGCTAAAGCAAAGAATGGGGCAAACCCCAGCATTTTAGTTAAAAATTGAAAGCAGTAATTGGATGACACCTAGTTAGATTTAGGTTCTATGCCAAATGCTAGAATTACAGTAAATAATTAAGCTACAGGAGTCAAGACAGAGACAGACCATCTAAGGAGATTTCAACTAAGATAAATGTGTGATGTATGCAATGCTTCTATTTCCCTGTAAGACAAACCAAAACCTTCTTTCATATATTGAGCTGATTGGAAATTTGAGCAAGAAATCCTACTTTAATCCAGATTTACTTTCCATGTGTTTTGCAGGAAATGAGCAAAGATTCATTTGGGGGGAAGGTAGAATGCAATTTCATTAAAGTCTTTTAATTCTTTTCCTTTTGGGTTTCCTGGATAGACATGAAATCAATCACATTGTTTGCAGCCTTTCCCCCTCCATGTGCCTTCTTGCACTATTAGATTATTGCCAGATCAAAGCCCAATGGTGGTTTTTTTTTTTAACTTCTCATTATTTAGCACCGAACCTGGAGGCTCTTCTGTCAAGATTTTTTCATCTGAATACTCTTCTGTTTAAT